TGGTTCGTGCCTTCTTGCCGGTGAGCCTGGCGGCTTCCTGAGGAGCTGACAGCGAAACATCCAGTCACACTCCAGCCCCTGCCCGGGAAATGTTCGCCGCAGAGGGTTGACCGATGTAAATTCCTGAGGCACCTTCCGAGGGCAAACTATGGTTGCCAAGGTGGGGACCAATTGAAAGCCAGGAGAAGGCGACACCCCTTTCAAGCTGGTCAAATGAAGGGCGTGGGTACCATGTTTTCGGAAACCGAAGAAACAAACACCCATTTTGGGGGTCCAAATCCACTAAAAGACAATACTTGTCCTGCACGGAGTTTCTGATGCTTCATTCTGGAGCATGGCAATTTTCTACGGCAGAGTTGAAGCCAAGTCTGACAAAGCTGGCAACCAGAATTGGAGTTGGCTCTTATGGGACCAAGTTTAATAAGGGCGGCTCTGCTTGTTGGATATGGGAGGGGGGGATTTTGAACATGGTTGAAAAAGCAAGTTGTAGGGGCGGAGGATATCTGCATTTCGCCTTCATAGCTTTCTCCCGGAAGAGACGCAACAAATTCTGGCGCCGGCTACATCAGGTACCCTGCAAGGCTGCCCAAGGACACCTCGAGTTGACCAGGCCCCTTTGGGGACTCTAACGCTTGTGCTACCTTGGGGTTTACCCAAAGAGAGCCGGCGGTTGATCAACTTGGTTGACGTTGGAAGGGGAGCAACAATTTAAATTGTAGCAGCTAAGTGGGGGATTTCAACCACTCAACCACAAGAAGCAAAAATATAAAATGTTTCCCAACAACAACTATGTCAACCCCTTTCTGGCTGCAAGGCCATTGCGAAACAAGGGGTGAGACGTCAGAAACCACCTCGCGCTTGACATACCGGCCAGTTGCCCCTTGTACATTGGGAAGGTGTCAAAGTTGCTTGGCTTGGTTCCTTTAAAGGAAGCATCACCGCCGTAAAAAGGGGGGCAGCTTTTGCTCGTTCTGAAAGCGGCCGTCCCAGCCCCAGCCTCAGCCTTCTTCCTCTCCTTCGCCTCATGCTCCTCAGCCTCTCTCACTCTTGCCTGCAAGGGGGACAGCCGTAGATGTTTTTTGGCCGACAAGACGCAACACTTCCAACAACAAGCGGATAATTTCTTGACGGAGAAGACGCCAGCATTTCCAACACCGTGAACATGAATCAACCACCAAATGTGTTAAAACACATATAGGCATGAACAAAAGGGACGTTAAACTGCCCCACAAAACTGGGCCGTTCCCAGATCCCTTCAAAAAGCTTAACCTTTGGCACTAAACCAACTAAAACCCCAAACACCTAAAAACAAAAACCGATGGCTGGGAAGCAAGACAAACAAATGGCTTGCAGTTTGCGCTTCAGCAAACCCATGTTCCGCAAGCGGAAGACAAGAAGTGCTGAAGAGATGTCTACAGGACGTCTTGATCCCGATGGATTTTGCCAGAACTAGAGCTACATGACTCCGTGAGAGTACAAACGGCTGGTCATAGGGGGCTGACTCCTGGCGCAGCCGGGCTGCCAATTGATACCCAGCATGGCACACCAAAAGGGAAAACTTCAGGTAGATGGTCTCAGGGAGACGCGATTTAAGTCACCGACTGCGCAGCCTGTCCGCCTTTTCGCGGAATGGGATGTCGAGGCAAGACCAACTACCCGTGCGGCGCGAACGTGAGGGCATGGTTTGTCAAGCCTGGCAATGCGGCTCGAGGCTCAAAACTTGACTTGGGGACCCTTTGGACAAGATTGGACATCATTCAGTGGATGTCCAGCCACCACTTTTGGGGGGATTCCCACTGCTCCACTGCTAAAGTGAGTGGCCATGAGCCAGATCTGCAAAGACACTCGGGTATCGAAACTACGTTTGCCCATGCGACCGATTCTCGAAATTTATCCCAGCGTGTCAAAACCAGGGACACCCCAATATTCATCAACTGGGGTTTATTAATCCCAAGCTAACAAACGGTACGGTGTGTTCTTGGGCCTCGAATTGCATACCAAAAAGAGTGCCTCTCAGGGAAGACCAAACATATCCACATCCTGCCTGTCCCGTAGAAAACTGGGCTTGAGGCATCCTCCCCGATACGGAAAAGGCAAGACACCTGGCTTGACTCACCCCTCGAACAAACAATCCAGCACAAACTCCCAAGTCGCAACTTCCATTTGCTTACGCCTCCTGGAATAACAATAAACATGTTTCCTGTAGTGATCGATTCCCTGGAAAACCAACAAGGGCAACTAGACAAACTATCTATATCAGCAAACTGGGATGCCCTCAGACCCCCCCTAAAATTTTAACTTTTAGTGAACTGAAACTACCACTAAACACTAAAAGGCTGAAAAGCTAAGGAACCGGATGGCGGGGAGACACCAAGCAAATGGAAGGCACAGAACACACAACACCTGAAGAATCGAACCATGTGACACATGGCCACATCGCCAGGCTCAAAGGCTGCAGTACCTGTGCCTCCGTTCGCTCTTTTTCGCGATTTTGTTCTGGGCGCTAAAGCCAATCATTTTTGTTAATTGCTTTCCTTCCTTTGATTGTTTTTGTTTGTTTTTGCATGTTGCTGTTCTTGCCTATCATTATTTTTGTGTGTTTCATGTTTTGCAGAGTTTGGAGCTGTTTGTGGTTTTTGCTGTTTTTGTCTGTAATCTGGAAACATGAAACAATGTCCCATCCCTCTGTAGTTTCCCTTGAAGAAATAGACAATTCCGGAAGCAAGCAAGCAAGCACCCAATCTTGTTTCCTACATATTCATCCCAAGGGTCCCTCCAACTTGTGACGTGGGCCCAAAAGCGGTCAACGCAGATCCTGACAAGGTCATTGACACTTTAGGGTCCGCTCTTGTAGACATGCACATGATTAGAGAGTCACATCTTGGGGGGATGTACGCTTGAATAATGCTTCAAATCTAGAGGTACAGGCGACATCTGCATGCTTCCCTTGCACATGAACAGCGCAAAGCACAATGTCCGTGTGCTGCTTTGAGCGCGCAAAGAAGCTCAAGCATCTGTGCAAGTCACTAGGATCTTCGGGGCCCCAAATCGCGTATGAGCGACGGTGTCGGGTGAAGTGGAGAGCCTCTAAAAGACTTCAGACAACTTCCAAGCTCTTCTCCCCTTGGATCCTTCGGATGGGAAATGAGAAGTGACCAACCCTACATGCCAAGCAGGTGTCGTTAGGACTTGACATTTGAAGCCTCTCTGTAGTGCTTAGAGATTGGACATTCATTCAACATGCAACATGGGTTCTGAAAATTAGGGGACCGCGTCAACCAAAATCGACGGCTTTTCTTAGGCTGTCTTGTCCAGCATACCCAACACAGTCTGGAAACCTGTTGTTCAAAAGATGCAACTGAAATTACAAGGACGGCTCCCGATCTCAGAAATCGAAGGGTCGGCCAATCCCGATAAACCACAAAGGGCACCCATTGCGCAACCGAAGGTAAGGATTGGCTCTGTACAGCCCAGCCTGCGTTTACACGCAACGACGGTGAGTTGTTTCGCACTAAGCCCTGCACTGACAGCAAACGCTTTTCATGGAATCTTGGGGCCCGAAGCATGAGACAGCAAGTGCATGATGCATGCTTGGATCCCGCCAAGCGGCTTCGGGGCTGTTGGTGATGTGTAGAGGCAACACGCATGACATGCTAGTCTTGCGCATGCAAACAAGAGCAACATGTTTGAGAACAGAATGTACTGTGCTACCTTTCAAGGAACATCACCGACTAAGGCAATCCACCCGGAAATTCACAAGACACCAAATGCAGAGAAAGTCATATTTCACCTGGAACTCCCTACCTCTTCCGCACCTTTCGCAACTTGGAACATCTAGAGTTTGTTGAGTTGCTGCCACTTGGTTGCTTTCTGCTCCCCTGCTAAAAGTGACTAACTTTTAGTGGTTTAATTCGGAAAACCCTTTTGGCCAAAACTTGTTCAGTCCTAACATCCCTTGGCAACATGCACCAAAGGCAAGAGGGGTGGCCATTCAATTCTGAGCTCTCCTTGGGAGGCTGATGCACTGCGTCCAGCCTTCGCCGGAGCAACTTGGCCTGGTGCTGCGACGGCCTTTTTTTCGGCTTCAGATGCGGGCGAAGAAGCCCGTGACTTGCGCCTAAAGAACCACCTCTGTCTGTCTGTGCGTCGGTTTTTGAGGGACCCCCGACACCCCCACCCCCATTTGGGGTCTCCAATTAAAATTATACTCCTCAAATCAACCCCAAAAACGGGGGGGTGTTGGGCTACGAAGATTGTTCTTCCTGGGTTCCATGTTGATCGGTGTATCTCGAGCAATGCGGCGAAGCTCTGAATTGGTGAAAGGACTTTGGGGTTCCGGCCTGACAAAGTCAAAGCCTCGCCATGTTTAGAGTGCTAACGAACATTGAGGGGCTGGAAAAATGACACGCCACCGATCCCTTTGGTTTCCCTTGGGCAAATGGTCAAACACATGGGCAATAAACGCACGCATCTCACAACTTGACAGCCATACACTTGCAACACATACGGCGTTCATGTGGATTTCTAATCCCAGAGCAAGAAGCAGAGGATGTCTAAGAGTCTCTTGGTTATGAGCTCCGCATCTGGAGAGAGAAACTTGCGAATCCGGGCAACGGCCCAAGAAACGCCAAAGCAAAAGACAGGCGCCAAGTCTCTCCACACCTGTGGGGCCTTTGCAGACTCAACGGGAAAACTTCGCATTTAGATTCCGAAGCCTCGTTCTGACTGAACAGGTCCACCGGATGAGGTCAATACCTGTGGTCCCTGTAGCAATCTGCTTTTGGCACAAACTTGCGGGCTGACCTTGGGTCGTGCCCTGACCCGTCTCTCCTGCAACGGGTGGCTGCAGATCAGTTGAGGTGACGGTCTCCGAACTATGCGCTCATGCATGACTTATTTCGGGCCCACAAAATTGGAGTATGAGGCCTCGTATGTTGATCCGGCCCTAGCATCCTTTTTGTTCCTTGCCAAAGCCTTGTGCTGGCCTTTTGGAGCGATACGTGCTGAACTCCGAAGACCGCGTTGACTCAACCGGCGGCACCCGCTGGTTTTTCACCGGCCGCTTCTTGGGATACGTCGGGTTCGCCGAGAGAGTTGCCAGAGGCCTCGAACACATCGTGACCCGAGAGGCCCACGTTTCCGCGGATATTTGTTTGGCGTGGATTGAGGGGGCGAGTTTGAGACTTGTCGCCAGTTGTGTACCCATGTTTTTTCCGGTCTCCCCTGATGTTCTCAGTAGAACATACCCCTTCAGGAAGCGGAAACTAATTCGAAGCCTTCCATGTATGGAATAGTGTGTCCAAGAAAAGAAAGCAAGCACGATTGTCTTGCCCCATCTCATTGCCAGTTGTTAATCCATCCAACCCATACGTATTGCTTTGTATACCAAGATCACGCGCCAAACCTGCAATTTAACCAAGCGGCAAAATCCGCTTAAGTTGAAATCTGGCAGCTCTGCCAAGCTCCAAAGCAGGACAAGCATGTGCCACCTGGGCACCAACTGTTTGTTCAATGTCCATAATCCTAAGGTCCAAAAAACAGTGGTTGAAGGATCCAGGTGTCCAAAAAAAAACTCTCGCCGTTGATCCTCGTCATCTGCCAGGAACAGAACAAGACGCTGTTCGACCACACACACATCACATATACACGCACGAGTATGCACATGCACATGCACGACACATGTCTCCGCACAGACACACACACATGAAATCATATGTGTATATATCTAGATATCCATGCAACACTTATGTCAATGTGTAAACACACGTACATTCACACATACAAACACATATGCAACCACAACAAAGTAAATATAACATGCACATGCGCATCCATGTACACACATCCGTGTCATACACATCCACTCAGGTATGCGCACTGACATGTGCAGTGTGAACGTTCAACGCGTAGACATGGACATTGACATGGATGCATGCACACGTGCGCACGTGCGGCATTTTAGGGGATCCCCAAACATTGTTTCTTTTTTGTTGGCTTCCCTTTAACGCCCCAAAGTAAGAGGGACCAACTTTAAACAAGACTGCCACCCGCATATCTTGCTGAGCACTTTCGTTTTTTGGATTGATTTGAACCCCTTCTCTTAGAGGAATGGGAACCCACCAGCTCCATACATACCATACGCCAGGGGGTACACTCCAAAAGAGACTCGCCCTTGTTGTCATATACAACTACCCAGTACCAGCTCAAAAATCCACCCCCTCCTTTTGATCCCTGGGTAGCTTTGCCAAGGGAAAATGTCATATCTCTCTTGTGTAATTTTCCATCGTCCACCTCATGTCAAGGACTTTTTGATCAACCCCGGCGGCCCGACCCTGCTTCCCAATCAAAACCGGTCATCAACATGGTCCACAGAACCATGTGAAGCAAAACAACAGCGGATATCCGCACCCGTTAACCTGCGTTCACTCAATTGCTGGGACCACCCGGCTGTTTGTCGCTCCTCGGAAAAAGGTATCATCCCTTTTTTCGCTGCTTTCCAACCAGTCATTTCCTCAGGACCCTGGGGTTCAAGCCACATTGCTCATATAGCGCCACTTGTGGACAGATCCACGCACGCCGTGCGCAGTGTGGCCCCCATCGTGCGAACTTGTCGGAGAGGACGAGAAAAATCGGCCGCGACACGAAGCGCTCGAGCAGATGTAAATTGGTAACAGGATGCAGACCGATGAACAATCACCTTGAGGTGGGAAGGCCCGAAAGTGTGCAAGGTTGAGGCCCTCAACCGAAAGATCCTCAAGGTGAAAGGTGGCACAAAAAAGTGCTCATGGCTTGCTTGAGCGAAGAGAGCTGACTACCAAGATTGATCTGCGATGGACCAGTCGGCAGGGGCCCCCTTGGCGTCAAGGAGCAGGTTTTCTTCCCTCCTGCACCTTGCCTGTCCCCATTCGAAACACGAGAGCCGTGCTGCAAGTAGCCCAACTACTGGTTCACAGCTGCCGAGTCTGCCTACAGCGAAACACCTCACACACGCCATCCCTGACATGGACTAGCTCCCATGCAAGGGCCGTGCCTAGATCATGCAGATCTTCCCCACCCTTTACAGGAACTTCATCTACTCGCGCCAGCTACGCTTGAGCCAAAATGGCTACCGAGTCCCATCCAACTTGGGTCCTTGCCTTTAACGCCAGGAACCCTAGAACGGAGCTTTGGAAAAAAACAAACAACTGGGCTTCTCCTCCCGCGTCCCAGCGTCCCAGCGTCCCAGCGACCCGAGCGGCCCCAGCGATGCAGCGGAGGAGCCCTGAGGCGGCGGCCTACAGCACCTCAGATGCCCATGGATTTCCATGGGAAAAAAAACACCTTTCCCAAAAAATAAGGCACAAAACAACAATCGGAACCCTAAACCCAACCAACAAGTTGCAAAAGTGTTCGCAACTGGCAACTAAGGCACCTCCTGGGAGGCCTGCTCCGCCAGGGTCTTCAGCACCGAAGAGGCCTTGTCCACCAGCGCCGCCGAGTCCTCGACTCCAAGCGAAGGCGTGGGTTTTGGGCGTGCAGGGGGAAGGGAAAAACAACGCGGCGGGACACTGCCCTCAAAAAGCCCGGGAGGAGACCCGCCCCCCCGGCCCGGAAAAGGGGGGGAGGGGGTGTTTATTTCCGATTTCTAGAAACATGGAGGTGCATTTTGTTGGGGGTGAGGTTTCTTTTTGGATAATGGCCTTTTCGGGGTGGCTTTAAAGGTGGAGCAAAGGGACTAGATTTAGCGTATCCCACAAGGACATAGTTTTCGTCTTGGGGAGGGGTTGTCTTAAGCTAGGGGACACCCCCAATATGGAGTGTTCCCTTTGGTTTCCCTTTGAGGCTTTAAACGACTCACTTCCCGAGTAGATTGGCCAGAACAAGTCCCAGAACAAGTTCAAACTTTGTTTTTTTTAATATGTTTTTATCACCAAGATGGTCTTCCCCAAAAAGTCAAGCCCGGGAACTCAGGCCTGTGTTTTGAGCAGGAGCAAATGGAGCCTGGGATCCCAAAATGCCCGTGAATCCAGGCTTCTGGGTGCATTCGGGACGTTCAGGACCCTCCCACAGCATTTCTGTCTGTGGCAGATCTGCTGAAGCTGCTCTTCTTGTTAGTTGTTATGCTATTGTTGGCTTGGTCATCGCCGCAGACTTTGGGTCAAGGCTTTGACAGGTGCGCTCTTGCCGTGCATCCTCGCTGCCATGTTTCCTCAACCGTTTGCTAAGAACATAGCCCTTTTCACGGAATCTTCATGGGCCTCAAGGTCAACACGTCACAGCTTGATCCTCATGTTTGGGTTCAGCTGGTCAATCTACTACGTGAGGGAGACATGGCAGAAGCGCTGATGTGCAGTTGGCGGCCTTGGTAAGTTGCTTCTCCTTTACATGTGCGTCTTGGCTTGCTTTTCTCACGGGTGTCGGGCCTTTGCATGTTCGCCTCGGTTTGCACGTTTTTGCAAGCCACGTAGTAGCACCCAAAAAGGATTCCAAAGTTCAAGGGCGGATGTGGACCCTTCAGGAGCATCCCCCTCCCAGAAAGAATACACTAGGGCCAGACTTAGACCCTCAAAAGTTAGCTGTCTGCTAGGTGAAAGGGAAAATCAAGGAACATCGAAAGGGCAGTAAAAGGGCAGAAAGCCCCAAGTCGTATCCCCAAACCACCCCTTTAACCAGCCTATTTGAGCCCCCCCAAATCGCTTCCATCTGTTGGGCAAACAACTACTTCACAACCCTGGGTATGGGATTGCAAACAACTGACTGGTTTTTGCACCCCCCTACTACACATGAAGAGAACCAAAGAAGAAACACCCCCACGAAACATGAAGATAACCAAAAAACACAAAACAACAACACACAACACTTGATCCAAGAGCAGTGAAGACAAGCTCAGCCTGGCACTGGAAACTCGCAAAACTTTAGAGGATGCCACACCCAAGCGGCCAGGATGGTTTGATCCAGTACGTCGCTGAGGTTCTGCCGAGGGAGGTTGTTCAAGCATTCCACCTCAGTCAAAGCTTCGGGTCATGGCTCTCTTGATCTTGGTTGACGTTGGAAGGGGAGCACAAGTTTAAATTTGAGCAGTTCGGTGGGGCTTTCAACCACTCAACCACAATAAGCAAAAATGCAAAATGTTTCCCAACAACAACCATGGCTTTGTTTGGTCATGGCTCCCTAAGCCCGTTATATACAATGGCTCAGAGTCCACAACCGCCCATACGGGTGTGGGTCAAACATAGCAACAATGGAAGTCTGGTAAACGGAAACAAGGACCAAACGCTGCGGTCCAGTGGCTCAAGTTTGACCCATAAGCAGGTCTTGTGACAATGTCACATGTGCTTTACCTCTGGTTCGCTGAAGGAAGGTCTGAGGCAAAACCCGAGCCTTTGTAGTCTTCAGTCCTGCGCCATATCCGAAAAAGATCAGTTGCCTGTTGAACCAACCATGATGTTGGACATTGGGCCTTCCCAGCTGACAGTCTACCAGAGTCAAGACAAGTTCCACATGTAGCAACAAGAGTCTACAAGAGTCTTGTGACAATGTCACATGTCACATGTAGCAATGGAAGCCGGGCCCCCGCTCGCCAAGCGGCGAAGAGTTGGGCATAGCTGGCGCAGAGTGCCCGCGGCGCCGGGTGCGCGGACATCTCCTGAGAAACGTCGCTGGAGGTCGTGTGTTGCTTCCGGTTTCTGGTGCCCCATGTATATATATATATATACATATATATATGACATATATGTATCTACATACATACATACATGCATACACACACCTGTATATATTGAATCTGTACATGTAGAGTAGTAAGTTACTTATAATTGATGTACATTCTATATATAATTATAATCTATTATATTTGTGTGTTCTATTTGAGGCTTGACTTCTTTCCCACAACGCTGAAGCCAATCCCAAGCCAGAATCCCAAGCCAACATACCTGCAGAAGGGACGGCACCTTGCGAACCGCAGGGGGAGTCACTTTTTCTGAGAGGGACTTCCCCCAACATGTCTCAGTGCATCTTCAAGACATGCAAGTTATATTTCCGGACACCCAACTTGAGACTGAGCGACAAGCAATTCTCCAACTGGAGAAAGAACTAAGAACGAGGTCCCCGCAAAACGACTCATACATTGTTCTCGGTGGTGGTCAGGGTGTGTATCCTGTGGCTACGTTGTGCTTGCATATCCCATTAAACCCTGGGGGTAGGTGGTGAAGGACAACTCTGGCAGCGTCCAACTGGGCATGAGAAACTTCATCATATTATGAACTGAAGCTTCCCAATGTGTAATGTCCCCAGGCGATTGTGCGTTGTCTTTGCATCATAGCTGGGCTGTCCTCAGATATCCTGCGAGAGGTTCAACTTTAGGCGGGAGAAATGGACACACCCTAAGGGTTTTTGCTTGATTTTGGGGGTCTCAAGATGGGTTTTTGAGGGCTCATGAGGAATTGGTCGCTTTGGGTTCTGGAGGGTCCCTTATGGGGTCTGCATAGGGGTCATGACCCTTCGGGCCCCAAGCCCCAAAATCTCGAGACCTGAAGCGCATGGCCGGGAACCACCAGGCCAATGCTTCCCTTGATCATCCCGAATCTTCCATGTTTACCCCTGGAAAAATGAGACTGGAAAAAATGAGGCCAGATTTCCACGAGTGAAATCGAGTCTCATTTACAACCAGCAGGGGAACATCAAACAAACTGTATTCATGGATTCATTTCACCAAATGAAAGTAATCCATCCCCTCACTTCCCGAGTGCATGGGTCTTCCCAAAAAGTAGAAAGTCCGAAACGGAACTCAGGAAGAGAGCGACCACGTCAATATCATTTGAGTCACAATCAAACAATGGCATTAGCATGTTGTACCCAAACCAATGTAAAGAAGTACAAAGGCGGCCGCACCTGATCCTGGCTGGGACTTTCCCTTACTGACCTTCACTTACCTTGGTTGACGTTGGAAGGGGAGCAAAAATTCAAATCTTACCAGTTAAGTGGTTGGATTTCCCACTAAACCACAATAAGCACAAATGGGAAACATGTTTCCCAAGGACTACCAGGTTACCGTTTTTGATTACCACCCAGACTTCCCAAGTGTAAAGTCCGAAACGGAACTCAGGAAGTGGGTCCCTCTGCATCCGATCCTTGCAAAAGTTGTTGGCATCCACAGAGAGCAGCTCACCTCGGGCGCGAAGAAGTTTCAAATTTCAGCTCAAGGGACCAACCAACCGGAGGTGCTCCTTCGGGTTTCCCTTGAAAACCCCAAAACCGGGGTACCTCAACTTACCCCTTAAAACTCCCTGCGCCCTGGGGAAGTTAATCTTTTACAGACATATAGCCCATGTTACCAAAAAAGTTGAAAAGTTGTGTTTTTAAGAGGTAAGTCAAGGAAACAAAAACACTTTGGGTGTCCCTGTGCCACAAAAAATCGGAATCCTCTTAGTTGGTGGTTTGGATTGGCGGTGTGACTAAGGAGGGTTTTCCCACTTACCCTCTAGACCAAGGTTCAAACCACCATTCCAAACCACATTTCCAAACCACCAGTGAACTAGGGGCCCCAGATTTTGCCTGGAACCTAAGAATCACCCTGGTGGGAGGTTTCTCCTTATTTAACTTGCATTTTGGGAGTATCCTTCATGGTTTTGTTTTTCCACCGGAACAACCACAAAGACCCACCACAATTCCCTTCGCATCAAGCACGGGCAACGCTGCAAAAAGTTACGGGTCGAGTTTGCGGAACACCCTACGACATTGAAAAGAATCTCCTCTCCTTTGAAGTGACATCCTTTGACGCTACCCGCGAAATGGTGGTTTCAAGAAAACATCTCGCCCGAAGAACTTTGAAAGAACTCCAAATGCAGCTCGAGGGGAGCCTGTATTCTAGGGGTACCTTCCATTCTTGCCAGTATCCTTCTTTCTAGCAAACCTCCGGAAACCCGAGAAAAACATAGAAGAAGCCGGTGTTGAAAAGAACGATGGGTCGAAAAGAATGGAAAAGGAATCGCGGAATCGACCCATGGAACTGTATCCGCATGCGAGAACTGGACGGCCCGACGAAAGTTTTGCGTGAAGTTCAGGAGTCATGGGAAGGTTGCCGGAAGGGCCCCCCAGATAGTCGGCCAGAACGAGCAACGGAAACCCTGCGATCAGCTTGGATGTGCCACTGGCAACATGTTGGAACCTCGTGTCAACACTTGGGCCGGCTGTGGAAATATGAACACTTTGCATACAAACTGTCGAAGACGTACTTCGCACACTTATTTCCGCTCGATCAAGTCAACGTGATAAGAAAAGAGCTGATTGATTGCACACCGGCTGTGGCTATGTTTGCAACATCGGGGAATGACAGTTGTGCTCCTATGCCCTAATCTTGATCAGTGCGACCTCCTAGAAAATCGCTCCCTGGCGGCACGTTTGCGGCCGACATGTTCAAAGTGCGCTTGGGTGAGGATGGGGTGCGATCAAAAACCACCCCAAGCTTGGGACATCTTGGCCTCAAGCTCCTTGCCCGGGCAATGGATCTTGAGGGGTCGCAAACATTCCGATGATCAAAGGTAATGAGACCTCGGGCTTTGGCAAAATAGCGCTTGCGAAACTTGGTTCAAGTCTGAAGTACTCTCAACACGCATGTTTCGTGTATAATAATATAGTCCAGGATCCACCCTAAATTTGCTATTTGAACAAACGGAGACAGCCCCTTCCAAGGGCTGCTTTTCCATTTCTACCTGAGTTGCCTCATGGTTGCCATTTGCCACTTGATAGCCCTTAACAACCCGAGCTTTGCGCTTTACTCGACCTCCACCTGCTCAAGGCGCCTGGACAAAATAACACAGTAGTGATAGATTCCCCTGAAAACCCAACAAGGGAACATAACAAACATATTATTCTTGGTTGACGTTGAAAGGGGAGAAAATATTCAAATCTTAGCAGTTAAGTGGGGATTTCCCACTAAACCACAAGAAGTAAAGATGTAAAATGTTTCCCAACAAGAACACTGTCTTAAGCAAATGGAAGTTGAACAAATGCAAAATCCCATCGAAGTGCCAAGGAGCCAGGCTTCTCCGCCTCGCAGACACCGAGATGCTTCCAGTGTACCCAGAGCGCCGGTTCTGATAACCTACGGGACTTGGACATGAATCCGGGCCCACGGAATGGTTGGGGGGGATATTCCCCACAGAAACCACCATTTGCTTACCCCTTAAAACTCCAAGCCCTGGGGAAGTTAATCTTTTACAGACATATAGCCCATGTTACCCCAAAAAGTTGAAAAGTTGTGTTTTTAAGAGGTAAGTTTGGGGTGAGGTCGTGTGAGGCCGCTATAATTCACCCCGGTGTTCGATATCCTTCGCGGAGGTTTTTCCCTCCCACCCATAGCACGGAACCCGACGGGGAAGCTTTTCTTGCTGCTCCTCAGAGAATGAGAAATGGAATGATCTCGAACTAAGCTATGCAACTGGTGGTTTCCTTTAAGGGGAAGCCTGGGTTCATTCCATGTCTCATTCCCTGCTGAGACTCTCAGCACCAGCAAGTGTTTGCTCCCCCCCCTCCTCCCGCGAATCGGAGCTCTGTAAAGGGACATGGCCGTAACCGGGTTCAGCTGCGCCGGCTGCAAAGCACACTTGACCATGTGACAGTCAAAGCTGAAGGCAGCAACAAGCTCCTCGCAATAGAAATACTGTGGATGGACGAAATCCTGCACCAAGTTGAAACCACACAAACCATTGTTTGTTGGTATTTACAGGCGAATCGAATCATTCCAGGGTTTGTTAGGTGGTCAATAAATTCGTCCATCCGCAGTAGGAAACCCAAGAACCATATTGCCAGCCTTTAGATTGTCTCCCCACATAAGTTGTGGAGCGTTGTCTAGTTTCTGGCCCATGTTGGTAGATCATGACGGCACTTTCAAGTGGTAGCAAAGGAGCAACCAAAGTACCACTGTGGGTATCAAGGGGCAAACTTCATGTCAAAACCTCAAAAAGGTGGTGGACAATTCCATATCAGCAACAGGGAGAAACAGGGACTACGAAAGTGACGTCCTCAAAATCACAACCTCAAAGTGGCGCTTTAAGTTGGTTTTGATAAGTTTCTGGATTCCACCAGTAATCTTGAGAACCACTACGTCGCCACGCAGCCACTGCTTCTGCTGCAGCTTATAGGACGGTGTCTCCTGCAATGCAAGCCAGTCAAAACATATTGTCTGTGAAATAAGATGCAGGTGTGGCAAATGGGTCAAACCCTTCGAGGATGGCCTAGCGGGAATCAAAGTCTAAGATGATTTCCACTTACTTCGAAACTGTTGCCTCCAGGGGCTTAATGGGATATGTTGCCCCCTGTTTCTGTATTTACATATATATAAAGGACATATTGATACATATATATATATATATACATATTTATTTTACATACAATGCCCCAGTTCAATCAGGGGTAGTGGTTTGGGGGATAGAAAAGGGAAACACCCTCCCGCCCCGCCCCCGCAGGGTGTTGGATTTCCTACAGGATCAATCTCACACGCCCGGTATGCACTGTGCACCGATGCTGGAGGCTAGGACAGGTGCGCCTCCGACTTTTTCGGGTTTCCCTTCACACTTCTGATCGCGTGGATTGGCCAACAAAAAGCAACCAACTGTTTGCATGCAACAAACATGATCTTCCCAAAGAGTTTGAGCTCTAGGAACTCAGGGAGTGAGTCCAAGACCTGGCGTCTGAAGGGCCGAAAATCAAAGTTTTGGAAAAAACCGGGTAATCAGGCTGACCCCTTCAGGATTCTTTCCGAAAACCACTGTGCCGTTCGTGGCGTCAACACGAAAGGATTTCTACCCGAAACCCCACCTATAAGCCTAATACTAGGATAGTGGTTGGGGTCCCCTGGATGGCCCCTGTGCCCAATGATAAAGCCACTGTTCTTTGGCAACCAACCAGAGGCGACTTGATATTCAGCGACCAGCGGCACCCCTCGGCCAAAGCAATCCACCCAATTGGTTATCTCAAAAGAAAAGACACACCCATATTGGTCAACAGCGCAGCAGACTAACGGACGTTTCTGTAGTTGAGGAAAACATGAACACCAACAGCACATAGTTTTGGCGGTTCACCAAACAGCCTTTTCCCGTCAAACACATCTCATCATAGAGTCTGGGTTCTTTGGGAAACAACCAACAACTAGGTCCTCCGGTAGAGAGGTTAGAATAAGGGTACCCTTTTTTTCTGTAGGGGAACCCTCCCCCAAGAAAGTGTAAAAGGGCACTACTGGGGGACCTAGACAATCATTGGCTGTTCTGGGCAACATCCAAATATCCATTGCATGTTTAGGCATCGACGGCATCGACGGCTCACACCATCGGCCTCGCCTAGGCGTCATCTCTGTGACCCAAAAGATAGAGCACAAAACATGTTCTCGACTTTTTCCAAGGGACTCCAAGAGCATCTCGTGCCATGCACTGCAAAGGGAATTAGCTGCGAAGACGTGCTTGACACTGCGGCCTCGTAATGCAAAGGTCATGTTCTCACTTGCCCAAAGCACCCAGAATTAAAAAGGTTAACCTCCTGGCACCATGACAAAAAATGGGCCAAGAAGGAAAAAACAAGAGGTTAAAGGGTCGGCTTTGAACAACTGAGTTTTGTGAATTAAAGCCCCGCAACGGAACTTCACATCAACTACTTTTTGATAGATTCGCGGAAAAAAATAATGAAGAGGTGTCACTAGTATCGGGGTTCAGAGTCACTTCTCTATGGGCATGACCCCTTCCATGGGTAGATAAATTCTTCCTGCCCTGATTCAGAGGGCAAGGGCTCTTTCGCGATCGGGTAAGGTTGACCCGCAACATGTTATCTTTAAACTATTACTTTTATTCACCAGGATCTTCCACAAGGCTGTAAATTGGTAACATGGCCTTCCCCATTTCTTGGGGGGGCCAGAAAAGGCTACCCAAAAGGAAGAGGGAGCGGCCTGAATTTTAATGTGGCACCCCTCGGGTGGTGCCGCGCAAGTCGCGTGTGTAGTTGTGTTGTTGACGCCGGCAACAAGCTTACCCAAAAGTGATGAGCGAAAAGGACATCTTCCAACGAATCATGTCCACCAAAGCGTCTCAAATACATAAAGCCCCGCCCCGGGAATCGCATCAATTACACAAAACCCCGACCCGGGAAACTTTTTTTTGCCATGCCAACCCAGCCAGCTCCTCCACATTCTGATTCTTGCTCTGCAGCGGCGTGTATTCCAGCACCAGGCCCGCAGAGAGGAAGAAGACTTGGGAGCACTCCTACATCCGCTGGCAGCGGCGTTTGCTTGCAGGGCTGTCTCAACATAGGAATCGGACTCCACCCGAAAATCGGAATCGGGTCCCCTACTAAAACAAAACAAATACGTGGTGGGTTGATTGAATGGAAATCCAACCACTGAACCAACTACAAATCTTGAAACCGAAGCAACCGTACAGCTGGAACCACCAAGAAAATTGCTGACTTTTCGTTGGTTTCCCTTCAAAACCCAACCACAAAATCATCTCGAAGCAAGCAAGCCGTCCTCCTGAAATCATGATTGGCCTTCGACCCTGTAAAAAGATATACATTGTATTGTTTGCTTCAGTTTTTGTTCTCGAAATGTAGCATGCATCCCTACCGACATCTGTACTTTCACACCACACCTCTTGAGTTATTGCCCCAAACTGGATCTGTTACTGAGGTGACCGTGCCCGTGCGAATTGTCTTGCTTGAGTGATTGCGCCTTGCTAAACTTCTGTGGTCCGATTTGTTGGATTAAGTTGTGGCTCGTCTATCTTTAAACGATGATGATGATGATGATGACATGCCTATTTGCCTCAGCCAAGGGTCACCTCATTTTGAAACCATACATGCAGTCTGAGAGTGTGTCACATGAAATGTCTTCTTCTGCGAAAGGTTGATTCCTGGCGTCCCTTTTGCGCCAAACAAGGGCTCCATATTTGGGTGCCTCGGGGCCCCTATGGCAAGAGCTCCACATTTCAGCTCTTTGGGAAAAACTCCATCAGGGGACACAGCCCACTGGACTGTATGTATAGTTTCAGCTGGTATGTGCTTGCTTGAAATGAGGGATAGTGGAAAAGAAATATCACTTCCCTCCAAAGAAACAAACTTCCAAGCGCGCAACCAAAGAAGATCCTCCGACACGTCTACTTGAATTCTCACATAAGCCGACTTGCCAAGCCTGGGCTGTCCTCAGATCTGCTAAAAGTTTTAATTTTGTCTAGGTCCTCCAGTAGACAGGATAGAATAAGGGTACCGCTTCTTTTGTCAGGACGTCTAGAATGGGAACCCTCCCAACCAAACAAGAAACGGGTACAAGACACGGCGCCAATTGCTGGACCTCGTGGGTAACATAGGGGGCCCCCACTCAACCCAACCCAAAAGCCAACGGAACCGGATGAGTTCTGGCGACTGAGTGTCCCAACTGAGTGTGGCTATGGTGGTCCTTGAAAGGGGAGCAAAAATGTTCAGATTTTAGCAGTTCAGTGGTTGGTTTTCAACCACTAAACCAGAATAAGCAAGAATGATGCAAATGTTTCCCAACAACAATCATGTAGAGGTACAGGTTTTGGGGGGACTCTTTGAGACAATGTGCAACTCGTGCTTGCGAAGTACCGGGTCAAAGTGGGGTCCCACAACATGGGTGAGTTGTCCTTTTGTAAACCAACGCAAGGGTACCTCAAAAATGACATTCTCAAATGGATCTAGCCCACTGGGGCGAATCTTATTGTGTGCCGGGGTCGCCCACGAGTGGGGCCCGTGTTTCGTGTTTGGCCAATAACACGATGCCCCACGTCAGCCTTTACCTGGTGGGCAATAGGCAAAAAAAAAGGCCAGGCAGGCCATTCAAAATGGGGGGAGCCCTCTGGACTCTCTGAAAGCTGCCCCAAAGCAGCCCAGAGTCTAAGCTTCAGCTGTTGGGGAAAAAGCATAACACCAGAGCGACGGCCAGCGGGGCCGGAGACGGCTCCGTCCTCGCCAGCTTCGAAGACAATGTCTCCACTGCCGATGACCTTCCTGAGCCGAATTAACAGGGCACAGCTCACTTCCCGAGTGTGGCCAAGGGGTCGAACTTTTCCACACCCAAAAAGTATTCAAGTCTCCAGGCTTCGGGCCGCCCACTTGAGTGGCAAACAGTTCACCAGTAGACTAGTTTAGGTACGGGATTTCGGTGCATCTAGGTCAAGGTCAACACCATTTTTGCCTCAGAAGTCGTTCTGCCGGGAGGCTCGTTGATGGCCTTACTGCAGAGCTTGTGCATGAAGTTGGGCATTAGCACACCTCAGCTGAAGCGCCTTACGAAGGCAGAAGCTGAGTGACGGTGTCTCCTTTTTTAGGGCGCCCACCAAAATGGTGGATACGGGTGTGTTTTTCTGCCCCCCCCCAAAAAAAAGCAAAGGTGGTTCTCTTTTTAGTTGTCCTTCAAAACCACCACACACAGGGATCCCCTCAAAGAACTAGACACGGCTCTTCGCACACCTCGCCGCCAAAAAAAACAATCCACGTGGCTCATACACTAACCCAAGGAACACACAGGGATGCCACTCCAAAGAGAACTCCAATAGAGGCATAGAGTCACTGCAAAATGACCCAGACATGTGGAAAATAGCGATTGGATTCAACTGCCGCCTATGGTTTAGCAAAACCGGGGAATCTGGGGGATCGGAAGCTTCAAGCCTCACTTCCCATCGAGTGGATGGCCCACGAAAAGGACCCAAACTTTATTGCCACTCAAATGGTCCAAACCCAGGTGACGAAAGTCCAGAGGCTAGATGGGGAGGTGGTGCTCAGTCTAATCGCCCTGAGACCCGCACGGAGACTCAGAAATGGAGCTTCTCTTAAAGGAACAAGGGTGAACGCGTGCCGAAATTGTCCAATCTTTTTGACACGCTTGCCTTTGATCCGATCGAGGTTCGTTGACTGCAACACCTGCTGGCATAGGTCTGGGAATTGGAGCTCAGCGAAGCCCTGTTTGTCATCTCAACCAACAAAGTTTTTAAGACGGCTGAAGCAAAGATCTACGAGTCCATCTTGGGGCCCCTTGCGGCACAAAACTAGTAGGGATTGGTAGGTAGCAGGCAAGGCCTGCTATCCATTGTCCCAAGTTTGTCTCCATGAACTCTGCAGTGCCCACATCTTTGGGCTTTGTGTAACAATCGCTCTACTGCAGCATACGCCCCCTCAACCTGATCCAACTTGGTGCAATAATAAAATGCCCGGCACTGTGGTGAACAAACATGAAGACATGCTGTACGCTTTTGGGCATCGATTTCAAGGAAACAGGGAGGTGTGGAAAAAAAAACACAGCACTGCAACGAACGTCGCTCAAAAAGCAAATGCTGTTGGAACCTTCAAAGAGACAATACACTTGCACCGTCAACTCAACTGGGTGTGCTGAAACCACTGATTTGCTATGGCCATCCATGTCTTACCACCGGATTTCGCCTTCAAAAGCTGGAATTTACTGGTGGCTTCTGCTAAATCTGCCACTTTTGAAGGTTCCAAAAAGGCCCATCCGTCTCCCTGAAAACAAAACATCCAAGATTTGGCCCATCTGAAAGAACAACCTCATGATCATGAAAGCCAACAGGCCCAAAGCCGCCTTCCTCATTGGAACTCAGGTGCTTCAGGTTGTGAGTTTTTGAGGTGTTGTGTCTTTTTGGGGGACCCCCCAAAATGGTGGTGTTCCTTTAAAGCCGCTGAAAAAAAGGAGTGACCTAAAAAAAGACACAACAAACACAAAACAGGCAAAGCATTTGGAAATCGGTCTGGATATCCTCGAAACTTGCATGGGTCTTCGGTTTTCGGCCCAGGCCCCAAACCCTACGGCATATTGCTTACTCTCCATGTCAAAGCAATCTCCATTTGCTTTCCCAATCTGGGTTGCTCCACCCGGCCACCCTTTGGCAACAGGTTGATCACCTTTTGATTAATTTGTTCCCGGAGTCATAACCAACGAAACATGAGGAACCCAAAACCATGCAAAGAGCTACCATGGCGGCTGCACCTATTTATGATTGGGAGTGTCCGTTACTAAGAGTCACTTAACCGGGCATTGATTGTGGCTATTTTTTCTCCAAAGGGTCGATCACTTGGGGCGATTCGGTCGCAAAGACGAGCGGCGGGGTTGGATCACCCCCAGTGAACATCCCAATCCACACTAAAATAGACTAAAATGGGTGGTGCACCTACCCCAAAATGGTATCATTGGTTTTGACCCCCAGCCCATGTCCTTTTTTTGTGTTTACCTCCAGCATGGCTTCGATTCGATTTCCTGTTGGCTTCCCTTTAAACCAAGGATACTGCGAGGCATTTCAAGCCGGACCCCGTTTGTGTCTCCCATCTTGGCCCTTTTGGTTGCCCTTTGACACCAACTGTCACTGAAAAAGGAACGACGTCACGTCACGTCGCCGAAAACCTTGCGGCCCAAGCTACTGACCTTCAGGAAGAACGGATGGCCCCGCAGCCATTGCACCTCTGCAACTCTTGGTTGCGAAATCTGCTCCCCTGCTTCTTTTTTTTTTGACTTCTAGTGGTTTCAAGGAACCCGCAGTGGGCAAAAAGCTGTTCAGTCCTAACATCCCTTGGCAAAATGCGCCAAGGACACCTTGTCGTTGCTTTTTAACCACAAAAACCGGCGTCCTGCCTGCCTTGAGCGACCGGGACCCCCACAAAGCACCATCTTGGCAGACTAAAAGAGACCATGTGAGGTGTGTTTGGGAAATCCCAGGAAAAGTTCGGTGGGGTGGGGTGGGGTGGTGGGGTGGTGTAGAGGTGTCTTTGGGAAATTCCTAGGAAAAGTTCCATGTAGCCATGAAGACCAGCAGTCCCAGAAATCCATCAGCTCCTTGAACTCCCTCAGAAACTCGGCGTCGTCGGAGTACACGTTGGCCGGCACCCCCAGGGTTTGGAACACCAGCTGCAGGTGGAACGCAGGATTGAAGAACCTCCGCTGATGTTCAACCACCTGTAGGTTCGCTTCGTTTGCGGGTTGCGCGCCGTCAAACAGCAGCCGGGAGCTGGCCTTGCAAGTAGCTAGGTCCTCCAGTAGAGAGGTTAGAATAAGTTGGTACCCCTTTTTTCTGTAGTCTATTTTAGTAGGGGAACCCTCCCCCCAAAAAGTTGGTAAAAGGGCATTGCTGGAAGACCTAGTCGAAGATAATGTAGACTCAAGAAGAATTCAACCCGGTGGGTTGCAACTGGGGTGCTCCACCCCACCCCACCCCACCCCACCCCACCTCACCTCACCCCACCCCACCCCACCCCACCCCACCCCACCCCAACCCGGCCCCTTACTCAGGCTTATTTTCCTACAGGGCCAAAGTATGCGAATCACTAATTACACAGGTTCCCATGAGTCACTCCTGCAAATAAGAGCCCCTAAAAAATGAAAACCCCAATCGATGCCAGAAGTGATGCTCGACGGCAGGGCAGTGTTTACTTCCCGTATTGACCCCCGCCCGTTCACCGCTCAAAAGGCGCCATGATGTTGTGCGCCAGCTCATTCCGTAGCGGCTGCGACCTGTGCTGTCCGAAAAGCACAAGCTGTGGTCACAAAGCTCGATGCGGGAGAGGAATGCCAGACAATACTACCACAAAGCAACCGACAGGGGCCATCACAAATCAACAGCCCGGCCCCCCGATCTCAAAACAAGAGAGGTGCGAGGGGACCATCAAAACCATTCCTCGGCAACTTCGATCAACAAAGCAGTTGTTGTTGGGTACTGCAAACACACAATAAACAGACCAAACACATCATCGAGTGCGTCGCCAAACAAGCAACAAAATCAGCAACCCACGCAACCCGCCAAGCAACAAATCAATTCAGGTGACACGCAACAACTAACCAAGCAAAAGGGCACAGAGTGAAGCAATCGACAAACACAAAACAAACACACATGAACAAATGAACAAGCACGCAGAAGAACAAACACAAAACACACAATCACAACAAACAATACAAACAAAGCTTATAAACAAAAAACATCACAAACAAACAAACAAACAAGCAAACCATAGCAAACCATCAAACAAACAAACAAACAGGCAAACAAACAGACAGACAGACAGACAGACAGACAGACAGACAGACAGACAAGCCAGCAACAAAGGCAATCAAGACAAAAGACGCAAAACAAGCGAGCAAGCCTGCGTGAGCAAACAAATAAACAAATACACTCAAACAAACACATACACACCCACACACACAAACAGACAGACGGACAGACGGACAGACGGACGGACGGACAGACGGACAAACGGACGGACGGACGGACGGACAGACAGACAGACGGATAGACAGACAACAAACATCAACAAACGAACAGACAAACAGGCATGCAAACAGGACAGGACAGGACAGACTGACAGAAAGAGAGACGCAGAGAGAGGCAGGCAGGCAGGCAGGCATGCAGGCAGGCAGACAGGCAGACAGATGGCAGGCAGGCAAACAGGCAAACAGGCAAAAAGAAAAACCAAGCAACACAACACAAACACAGCAAGCAAGCAACCAAGAAAGAACAGAAATAAAGAATCAAACAAAGGAACACGAAGGAAGGGTAACACGAGCAAGCAATCCGTGCGTACAACTGTCGAATGTTGTAACGTGGCGAACAGGTGCTTTGTATCAAATGCGATCACACACACAAAAAGAGGCATCTACCAAACATCGACACAGCACCGAGAGGACATTTAAGCCACAACACGTGAAGTTATCCACAAGACCAAACAACCCAACCCCGGACAAAATAAAGACGCCGCGATGCACCAGGTAATTAGTTTTTGGCCAGGAGGCAGCTTTGACAGATGCAGCACCATGCTGGGCTGGACATACTCCTGCTCCTGATACGGCCAACAACAAGCAGACAAGTACTGCGCATTTCAGCCGGTGCGCAGCCGAAGGCTGCAAGAATATATTAAACAAAGCTGGTCTGACAGTATCAAGAAGTAATATCGGTAAACCATACTCTAAAATCACCCGTCAAAGAACACCTTCAAGGTCAAAGCTTGTCTTACCCCCGGTGAGCTTGCTTGTTCTACATAAGATGCACAGCATCTTTGAGTGGTTTTGTTGAACTTGCCTTAAAAGCTTGGTGAGAAATGCAAACACAAGGCCTTGTTGCTTTCTTGAGCACAAGACATTGAACTCCTAGCAAAAAGGCGCTCACTCCGGGTTCACCAGGCCTCAGCCAAACAAAATCAGCGATAGGTGTACCTGAGGTTTCCAGGCCACGAGGCCGACTCTGTTTATTGCTCTGGGCACTTGTGAAGATGAGGCCGGTGACCATCTGGATGTCGTTCAAAACAGAAGGACGAATCCACACGACAGGTGCTCATGTCGACTCACCTGCTTACAACCGTGCATGATGATTCCTTTTGGGAAGCCTTGCTGCATGCAACAGGTCACATCTATCCGGCGGTAACAGCAATATATTCATGGTCAACCAGCTGTTGTTGTTTGCGTGTGGTCAAGGGGTCCATCTCGCAGTTCACATACTCCAGAGGCCCTCCTAGCAGTTGGTCTGCACTTGTTTCAGACTAAAAGACATCCAGCACCCCCCAGCATCTGCTTTTTCCCGTGTCCAAAAACCCCTATGATAATTATCGTGGTTCACCTTTGGGGGCGTGTTCTGTTTCACCGTCAAAGGAATTCTGTTGGCAACCTGCGAATTCACCGGGTCGAACCGTGCACAGGGCAGTTGCCTTGCATGCAACTCCTCGCTTGTACACGGCAACAAACTGTATGGATATTCTAAAATTAACAAAAAAACAAACAAGCAAGCAAGCAATCAACAAAATAAACAAGGCAATCAAATTAAATCAAACCAATCAATTTATCAAAACAAATCAACAGAAATCAAATGAAATCAAATCAACTCAAATCAAGCCAATCAATCAATCAATAAATACATAAATAAATAAATCAATCAAACAAGCAAACAAACAAACAAACAAACACACAAACAAACAAACACACAAACAAACAAACAAGCAAGCAGGCAATCAAACCAACACACAAGGAATGGTTGGTTTGGGACCGTCCCCAATTATGGGGCGTGTTGGAAGTCAAAGCTGTCCCAAGCCGACCGAAGACCTACGTGACTTGACATTCTACGTCCGACCAACCCGATGGAAACATGGCTAGCCAGTGATTTGGTGATAGGTAAAACTTGGTTCTCAGAACACTTGCAAGAGCCCCTTCTTAGAAGGTCGCACAAACGCTTTGGGGGGGGGGCCCGGGGAGGGGGGGGGCTACGTTTTTTCCCCTTGTGTAGCGCACCAATGATCGAGACGACACAGCATTTTCCGGCCTTCAAGATGCGATACTCCAGGAACTTCTCAATGCGGAACTGAAGCTCCTGCGATGGCAGTGGGGCTTTTCTCGAGGAGTCGAAAGACCGCGCAAAGCGCTAGAACCACGCCTGATGAGTCTGGGTTGTTCAAATGGAGAGAAAATGTCACTGCTACAAAGGAAAGACCACCTGGCTAATCTAGATCTGGAACAAGACAGTTATTCAAGAGGATTCCTCCTCGTTCGCGTGCCGTGCGCCCCTAAAACAAGGACCTAAGAGGGCGTTCACCACCCCACTGCCCCAGATAAAAATGCCCGCGATCCTCGTGGTTTGCGGGAATCCATGCTTCTTGAAAGCAAAAGCGGTTCCGATGCTTGACCAGCTGTACCCGTCTGATCAAAAGGCACCAATCTGAGGACCCTTGACACATACACTCCCTCAGACTAACATGGAAGCTCCCAGGCCTTTGTAAATGGAACCAAGTCTTCCAGAGGGGTCCTGGGAGCTTCCATGTTAGTCCGGGGGAGGGTAAAATACGGGTGGAATTCGCCTGCGTTTGGCATCAGACTCTCACCCCGACTCACGCCTGAGACGCGCGTTTCGGGCCTGCCTTGTTCACTCCATTCTGCTTGAGGTACCGGCGAAGCATCCAGAACTGCTTCATGTGATTGCTGCGCCTCGACGAAAGCACAAAACGATGGGAAAGCACCTCCATACGTAACTCAGGGTTCCTCATATCAGCTGCCCCCTGGTGAGGCTTCCCACTCACCCACCAAAACCAGGGCTCAAAGTCCCAAACCACTCCAAACCAAGCTTCCATTTGGCTAAGTCCCCTGGAAAAAATGAGAAAAAATGTCCAGTAGTGAAATCGATTCCCTTTAAAACCAACAGGGGAAACATAAAACAACAGATTCTTAAGCAAATGGAAGCAAGCCGCAACCGGTCCTGGTTCCTCTCACTTCATGAGTGGATTGGCAGAAACAAGTCTAACCTTTTGCTTACCACCAAAAGGGTCTTCACCAAAAGTGACTAAAGTGCAGGAACTAGGGGAGCGAGTCTTGGGATAGCCCATGTTTGCAGCCTTTCAACCATCAAGCGTGTTTGTACATTCTCCATGAGTTTGCTTCTTTCCCGGCAAAAGGGCGACTTATCCAAATATAGATTGGTCTTCTCCCAAGTTTTATATCAAAGGATACTACATGAGGCACTGTCATAATTACTTACTTGCGGCCGTTTTCCTGCTGCAATATCAATGAAACACCGAATACTGAGTTCAACTGAATAGTTTTGGACGGTACTTCACATGCTTCTCCGTTGGTGCAAGCCTCCTAGAACCTCTTGGTTGACGTTGGAAGGGGAGCAAACACTTAATTTGTAGCGAGTTAAGTGGGGGATTTCAACCACTAAACCACAATAAGCAAAAATGCACCATGTTTCGCAACAACAACCATGATTTGTGCTGTTCGACCCCGGGTCAAAGGGGGGAGGCCGAGGCGCAAATTGTTGAGCTGCGTCATGGACGCCGTGACGCCTCGGGAAGCGGACGCTGGATTTGGGGGGCTGTTTCATGAGGGCACCGTTTTTTTTGTGGGGCGGGGATTCAGTGAAACCAAAACTGGGCTGTCCGTTTTCAGATGCCCCGCTAGAAGTGACGAGCTTTTAGTGGGTTAAATGGAAACTACCACGAAACACTCAAAGGCTAAAACGCTAAGGGAACCGTTTTTGGGGGCGGGGGTTTGGCCCTCCAACGAACATGGAACCTGACGTTCGGGCCCCGGTCCATTGCTTTCAAGGAAAATGGCTTCTAGGACCCCCTTGTGAAGTTCCATGTTGGTGGGTGGCAGGGTAGAGGGTTAAGACAAACCCATTTGTGCACGTAACGAGCAACACAAGCTGTGAAGTAGTGGATGTTGCACTGAAGAAACAAAAGCTCCTTGCTTTCAAACAAAAACACTTGAGAAAAACACACACTCCAGACACCTGGCGTGATACTAATATGCTGTGCCGACAATTCACACTGCAGCCCAAAGGTAGCTTGTGTTTAGAGAAGCCCAATTTTCTGGTAACAGCGCGAAACAAGAGACAAAAGGAACACATGAAAACAACCACATCGCCACATGCAACACAACATGAACATCTACTAGTAATGGCAATGTCCTTGAAACTCCCTTTATGTTGGCCCAAAAGGTGCTATTTAAAATCAGGAAAAAAAAGAGAACGGTGAGGTAAGGACACGAAATGTTTCCAACGTTTGGGGGAACACGTCCTTGAACGGCGTGTGGCTGGACGCACTGATTCTTGACAAAGTCCTGATATCTTTGGCAGATTCAATCGCCATCCACACTGAACATACCACATCTCATTGCATGCAACAAAATCGGCTAAGATCTCTTCAGACAAGGACTGAGGATTGCTGCCACGGGCGTGCCTAAGCTGCAGCTTGCTTGCATTGCTTCCTTTCTGGCATCATGGGCCAGCGCGAACTCATGATCATACAGCCTACAATTGCAAAACAATACTCCACATCCGACAGAATATTTAGCATTCTGACAAAGCAACACACGACGTTTGGCTGCGATTCTTCACATCAGGTTCGACTCTTCAAAGCTGTCCCAATGTAGCAGTCATTTAGCACTCTTCCAGTGCGGACGCGCACATGAGGCATCCCTCCATAAAGTCCCCTGGAACAAAACAACTCCAGTAGTGAAATCTGCCGCGGACATGCATAATTTCCAAAGCCCGGCCTCCAACGATGGAGGAGAAGGCGACCATGGCAAAGAACAGCACTGCGATGGAGAACACCCGCTCGTACACCTCGCAATACAAGTTGGGGGTGCGGGGGCAACAACTTGGTTGACATGGATGGGAGCAAAAATGTTCAGATTTTAGCAGTTCAGTGGGGGGTTTCAACCACTCAACCACAATAAGCAAAAATGTAAAATGTTTCGCAACAACAACCATGAGTAAGGGCAACCATGTACGCCTTTTTGAAGATCCCCAAAAACATGAGTGGCTTTCCTCTTTTTCCCTTTTAGACCAGCAAAAAGGTGCCCGTAAAAATATACAACGACAAAGTTTTGTCCCAATAACAACCATGTCCATCCCTTCCCCCAAGGTTCACCGCAGCTTTGGCCCTCAGCCATATGATGCTTGGGTCTGATTCTGCAGAAATTGCGTGAACCACAGAGTCCTTCCAATTGCCACTGGGAACAAAAGGCAAACCATCATGTCAAGCTAAGAGGCAAACCAATCTTGGTTCCCAGCGAAAACTCTGTGCTTCTTAAAATGCCCCCCTCTTTGGTAGTCAAACTCGACCCAACAAAAACCCTCACCAGAACGGTCCCACAAAGTTCGAAGTTCCGGAGCTCAAAAATGGTACTCGCTTTGGGGTTTTTAAAAGAGAAGCTACCATTCTACCGTGGCTTCTCTTTAAACGCCACGAACACGAACAGGGCTACCACCTCCAAACCAAAAAGCCGACCCAGCACGACCGAGTCGACTTCCGAGAGATCAGATCAGAGCCGAGAGGCGTTTTTGGCGCTCACGTCCATGGAGGCTGGTGTGAACTGCGTCAGCGCCTCGATTCGAGCAAGGCGACAGAGACGAGAGATGGGGCGTGGATCAGTTTCTTCCCAGAACGAACGGCCCCCAGTTTGATTCCATGGCTAACTTGTCCCATGTGAAAGTCAAATCTGTCTTGGTTTGGTCATCCCATGTGGACCTTTTCATCAACCCACAGATACCGCGAACAAATCACCCCGTGTGGTACGCAACAACTGGGCTGTCCGTTTTCAGATCTGCTAGGAGTGGAACACTTCTAGTCGTGACAAGTGGAAACAACTACCACACCAACTAAAAAGCTCAAAAAGCTAAGGGATGGCTGGGAAACACCAAGAAAAGCAGTGGTTGCTATGCCTCTGGGTGCTATGGGCTTGATGGGTTCCCCCTCTTTGACAATGCTATACGACAATAGCCATATATTGACTCGATGATAGGACTCTTTTCAATCTAGTTGTGTTACACATGTCCTTTTCAAGTGGTTGGATTCGAGACATGGTGCGTGACTGCCAGGATTTCAAGATTTCGGGGAGCTGTCGCTGGACGTTTCTCGATTGCTTGACGGCAACTAGCCCTAAACTGGCCAAGGAGAGATCTCTGCTTGCTCTCTGCTGATCTTCACCAGTTCTTTTGAAGTTCGGTTTCCCTATGAACTCACGCGCAGCACCATGCAGAAAACGCTGGCTCTCCTTGGGCAACCTGCTGATTCGGAGTTTTGAGAAATGGTTAGCACCCGGGTTCGATTTTTCAATGTCCAAAATCCGCCCCACCTGTAGTAACCCAACACCCGTGGTTGCTATCCGGGTGCCGGAAAATGGGTTTGGTTTATTTTGGAGGGTACCCTTTTCACGTAAAGTGAAGCCAAAAGGGAACACCACCCATGGTTGGGTCCCCCGCATTGAACTAAACAAAACGGATGGGGCTCGGGAGAAGATGGAATGACTGTCATTCCTCCCACCAACACAGCATTTGCGGGAGGGTTCCTGGAAGCTCTTAAAGGGATCCCCCGTCTGGTGCCATATTTGTGGAGGGAGGGTACCCCGTTGTTGGGGCTTGACGATTTTTGGAGGGGCAGCCTTTCTGGCATCTTAAGGGTATCTAGGTCCTCCAGTAGAGAGGTTAGGTACTTTTTTTCTGTAGTCTATTTTAGTAGGGGAACCCTCCCCCAAAAAGGAAACGGTAAAAGTTGGCACTGAGGGACCTAGGTATCTAGTGAACTCGGGTCTAACTGGTCCGCGTTCGTATTCGGCATGTGCTCAGCTGCTCAGCGCCCAGCCCAGTGAAGGGATGTGGTGTACTTGTACGTGGCGTCCTAGCGAAGACCGCCGAGGACACGCGGCCCGAATTTCGATGTGAGGCCCCCAAGCCTTTGGAACTGAACTGAAGGAAACAAACTGCAGAGGCGTCCGTTCCAGTTTTCCGGGGCTCACCCGAACTTTCTCCCTCAAATAGAAACGTCCTAGCACATTTGTCTGGGTAAAATGGAAACATTGGTTGGATAGGACCGCACACAGCACTCATATAGCACATGTTCGCAGCAGCTCCAAGCCCCCCCCCCTTCCCGCAACGCATGCGGCGAAACTGGTGAACCATTGGCAAACACATACCCCTCCCTCCCACTAACATGGCAACTGACAGGGGGGTCCCTTCAAAAGGATTTTAATCTTCCAGTACCTCCCCACAGGTGCCATGTTAGGTGGAGGAAGGGTACCTTTGTTATAGCGGGTCTTGCGGGAAAGACACGTTGTACCTTTGTCAAGCACCTTCGGGGAGCCGGACCGCGGGTGAAAAACCATGCCAAGCCTGTCCCAAGAAAGCTACTGCCACATGCTGTGCATGATGAACGCTGTTCGAGCTATGGTCGACGGTTTGAACAAATTGCACGTCCCCTCCATGATGACAAGCCCCCCAAGGCCGGCATGCGCAAACGATAGCCTCCTTAAGATTCAACATGGGCCCAACCCAAATGTGCAGAGATGCCTCCTTTTGGAGGATCATAGCAATGTGCGAAAGCCTACAGTGTCCGTTCCCAACTCTCTCAACCAGTTCCTGATCCACTTGAGGGCACAAATCCTGGTCGGCAATGGGAGAAGGCATGCTAAGCGGATGCGTCATGAGTACCACATGGTAGAGATAGATATTTCGGTGTGTTTGTTTAGGGGAACCGGTTTTCCTTTTGGTT